TTGGCCTTTACTATGCGTGAAAGTCACTCCCATCACCCCAAAGGCACCTGCGAAGCTTTCCCTCTGAACTGAGGGTAGGACAAGATTCTAACCAGTTTATTTTGAAACGATGTCATCCTTGTTAAAAAGCACTGCTTAAGTAGACTTGGCCAGACACTGTTAACCTCCCCCTACTGTGGCAGACACTGGCCCCAAGGACCAGGGCCTCTGCAGTTGTTCTCCACACCACAGCCAGCAGGCAGCGCCAGCAGGCTTCGCAGGGGCAGGGGGCTCAGGCACAGCGTTCCCGGATTGCGAGCCAACCCAGGGAAGGAGCTTTACATCACTGTCCCTGGGCTCCTGCCACTCACACCAGCCTGGGCTGCAGATCTGATAACACCTCCCTCCAGCACAGCCCAGCCCTCCCCAGTCTCAGGGAAACCGCCTGTCCCTCTCCCGCACCTCCAAGGTATGCTGATGGCAAGTTTAATCAAGAACAAACGTTCTCAAAGCAAAAGCTGACACCAAGGGGGCAGTACCCCAGCTCTGCACCCCTTCAGGAATGGCAGGAGTTGAAACCTCCAGTAGGCAGTTGAAACTACAGTGATGGAGTCAAAGCAGAGAAAGGCCGTACTGGAGGCAGTGGCTGGGTGGGGAAAGGAAAACCAGGTTTTGCTCTCAGTCCTGCCAGGGACCTGTGACTTCAAACAAGTCACCAAGATTGGGAGTATTTCTCATAAAACCAGGAGGTCGGACTGGCCAACCCTCCCAGCACATTCCCAGTTCCTAAGCACTCTTAGGAACACTGGAGTTGGTACTGTTTGCCCACTTGGCTCCCCCATTAGACTGAAAGTGTCCCCAGGGACCTAGAGAGCATCCTCTCTGCTTCAGAATCCTTGCCAGGGCGGCTGTCACTAGGACCTCAGCAGGCAAACCAGTAATGACGGAAGGTGTGTCAAGCGACTGCATCTGCATGATCACCCCAACGACCTGCTCTGTGAGGAACAATGGCACCCCTCTCACTTCCCAGCAGTTCCACTACCCAGAGGATCTGGGCAGCAGGGAGAGGAGGCCACAGGAAGAGCTCAGGTCCCCCAACAGCAGGGTTCGGACCTCAGCCACAGTGCGTCTGAGTGAAGGTCAAGCCTCCCTGATCTTCCCAGCAGCAGCTGGGTCGCCCAGGTGCCTCCTGGCGACTCCTCCAGGAAGTGGCCAAATCCTGAATGTCTCCTACCCAGCAAAGCCAATGGGAAAGGTCCTTTGGGGACCCTTTCTCCAGGTCACCCTTTTTAGGAGAGACTTTTCTCCAGGAGAGCACAAGGTGGGGAGACTTAGTGTGCAAGGCCTGTCTCTGAAAAGTACTAGAAGGCTGGTAGGAAAGGGCCCAGTTGCAGTGTCCACAAAACACGAATCTTCATGAGGTGCCACTGTCTTTATCTCCAGTGCCCAGCACAGACTCGGCCCAAAGAGGGTGACGGCATGAGGGGGTGAACTGGTGTGGGGCTCCAGGCTGAGCGGCAGAACCACTAGGTGTCCCTATGTGCGTGCACCTGGGGAATGAGAACGTTCCATCCTTCCTCGGTGGATTTCTCAGACCCTCTAGGAGGCCCCAATGGGGATGGGGCCCCAGGCTCTGGCGGGATGAAGTAGCCTCACAACTTCCATCCGCAGATCCAGACCCTGGGTACAGATTTTATCTCCTCCCACGTCCCATGTAGAGAAAACCGAGTGTGCCACAAACACTGGTGGATTTCCAGGAACTCTCATCAGGCTCAGGAGGGTCCAGCACATGGGCGGGCAGGGAGGAGGCAAACACTAAACCTTGGCTCCCGCTACTCTTTTGGATCCAAACTGGACCACTACGTGGAGAAAGTCATCACAAGCTGCTAGACACGCTGACCCCATACACCATCACGACCTGCGATCTCAACTCCAGCAGCTGGGCTGGGCATCAGGGACTTCCGGGGGCATCTCACGTGCTGTTTCTCCCACTGAGCACTTGCTCAGTAAGGGTCAGAGTGGGCTGACCTTACCCACTCTGTAGGGCAGAGTCCTACAGACTCTGGGAGAAGTCTGGCGTGGTTGCATAAGCCAAGCCCTCTGGTCAATCCCTTCTTCAAAAGCCAGGAATCCAATGTTGCAAGCACTGCCTCTGGAGGCCCTGCCCTGGAATGTGAGAGAAGACTGCAGAACAGGAAAGAAAACCAGACTGGATACCACCACACTCCCACGTGACCTCACCACATGCTGCTGGGATGGTTTCCTAGCCTGTGTCACCCACCTCTGGGAAGTAAGAACCGGCTAGAGAAGAAGCTTCACCTAAAGATGACCTGTGGTATGAACGCCGCTGGACCCTCACAAGGCAAAGTCTGGAGAATCTCTTAGTAGGAAGAATATGAACTTACAGACTCACAACAATGCTACAGGTTTAAGCAGTCTCATTCCCATTTTACAGACGGGGAGGCCTGAGATTCAGACATCGTGGGACTTGCCCAAGGTCACGCATGCAACAGAACCTGGACCCGAAATCGAAGCCCTGGGCTTCCCATTCGCAACACTGCCCCCATCATCAGGATTCTTAGAGTAATAAACTTCCCTCCTGTTTAACCACTTTAGTAAATCTGGACTTTGGAACCATTCTTAAGCAGGAAATAAATTTTTAAAAAATTTTCTTATTAGTCTTTCTAAAAATTGAACTTATTGGGGTAACATTTACTGGTTAATAACATAAATTTCAGGGGTATGACTTTATAGCACAAAGTCTGTATCCCTGATGATGTGTTTGCCACCCAAGTGTCACCTTGTACTTGACCCACTTTACCCTCTTTGTCCAACCCTCCTCTCTGGTAACCACCATTCTCTTATATCTATGAGTTTGGTCTTTTGTTTACTAAACAGGGATATTCTCAAACACGGGTATGTATAACAAACACTGATTCAACCCACCTGGGGCCCCTTCACCAGACCACGGAAGTCCACTCCAGCCTCCCTGTTTGGGCGAGGGGACTGGGGCCGCTGGGGTGAAGTGATTCAAGCAAATCAGCTCCTGGGGTCTACACTCCCATCCTCCCAAACTGAAGTCCACCTCCTCATAAAGCAGGGCAGACCGGAATCCACAAGACATTGGAAAGGACAGGGAGCTGGGTACTGGTTTCCAGGTTACCCTGCAAATCCCCTTCAGGCTTTGGGACAGGTTTCTGGCTGCTCAGTTGGATCAGCCAATAAACCAGCTCAGAGACACAAAGGGCTGGATGCTCTGTGGTATCATCACGCTGCACCTGGGTTAACAGGAGTGACTCTGAAGTCACGGCACCAAGAGGGCGAAGTGCCAGTTCCAGAGAACAAACAGCAAATGGTGCTCCTATATCCTCACTGTGAACCGGGAGCACTTCGGAGCCACATAGGGGCAATCCAAGAGAGGCCAGCATGGAGAACATTCTCCCAGCCCAACAGCCCCATGGTTCAACCAGACAGAGGCGGCTGGACGAGGACCCTCCCCTCCCAGAACTAAGCCACATAGGCCCCCTATTGTGTCACTTCAAATACTGAACTTCGCTGGACAAAAACACACTTGGCTGTCTGTGTTCGAGAAAGCAGTGTCTCTGGCCACTTGGAAAACAGCAGGAGGTCTGCAGAAGGAGCAGTTGTGTGGGGTATTGTTGGTCTGTTTGTTTCTTAAGCAAAGCCCTGGTCAGCACTGCTATAGCAACTGTAACAAAAATAATAATAGCCAGCACTGATTAGAAGCTTCCAATGTTCCTGGTTTTATAGCTTGAAGAAAATAAAACTGAAGGAGAGAAGTCACCCCGAAGCATTTTGGATCAAACAGGAATTCAGGTTTATGGCGTGCAGAGGATTGGGTCTTGTAACAATTACAACAAATCACCACTGGCCCTGTGACAGTTGGCAGAGGCAATGAGCAATAAAGGGAGGGAGGGGGCCTGGATGAGAAATTAAGGTTCTAACAAAAACAAAACATCACCAGATCTGCAGAAGGCCAGTGTGGCAAGGCAAGGTGGAGCCCCTTCTTCAAGTCAGAGTGAGCGATTACTAACTGGGCTGTGCATTCCACAGCCTTCCCAGCTTCTGGACAAAAAAGCAAGTTGGGAGTACACTAGTTTCCCTCTGTTGTGTAGGGGGGATGGGGAACTCCCCATACTTCTGAGAACCCAACACTTCTAGCTGCTTCTTCCAAATTGTGTTAATACTGCATTTCCCAGCTATAATTTGAGAGAGGAGGGCAAGCATATCTTATTTCTTCTTTACACTGGAGGCTGTCTCCACCAGAAGCCCTTAAAGAGTGTCATCTTCACCCCAAAGGCTAGTTCCCCAGCAAAATCCTTCCTAAAGCAAAATCCAATGTTTGATGGGAGTCGGTGGGTAATTACGTTTTGAGCAGTGAAACGCTGTGGCAGAGCGAAAGGAAAGCACCAAATGCCTGAAGAGGAAAATGCAGTTTCAGCAAACACTTTTTGAAAAGCGGCACACAAGAACCTGGAGGAAAGAAAAGCAAGGGACGAGACAGTGTCTGGGGTGTGAGGCGAAAGTAGAGAACGACGGGCCTCTGTTCACACTTCAGGAGGACCTCCCCCTGCCCAGTCACCCGGGCCCACGGCTGCTCGGCTCAGTCACACAGTGAAAAAGTCCAGCGTATGACTCAGTGAGAGCATGAGTCCTGCAGCCAGGCAAGCTGGAAATGGGGTTGGGGGTGAAGGTGAAGAGGCAGGGGCTGTCCGCACACAGCCCACCCTGCCCACCGCTCCCAAAGCCCACATCCCAGTTTCCACTCCGCCCCTCCCTGCAAAGCCCGCCCAAGGTGAGGGGCTGGCCCTGGGTCCTCAACCAGCCGCATCACTGAGCCCAGGAAGGAGGTGAAGCTTCAAACAGGGCGACCCAGGCTTAAGGATGCAAGTAAAGGTGTGGACAGGAGCATAGAGCGCGGTATTAGGGGCCGCTACCCGGGCCGCCTACCCCTGCATCTTGGGCCCAGCCCGGGTCCCTGACCCTCGCGGCTGCTTTACCTCCAGGGTCCGGATCTCCTGCTGGGTGAGGTCGTTGGACACGGAGCACTTCGTGCGCAGCCCGCGCAGGCTGCCGATGGAGATATCGATGAGCTTCTGGAGCTGCCCGCACTGCTGCAGCGCCCGGCTTGCTGCGGCTCCGGAGCCCCTCTCCGCTGCTGCTGCGACCCCCCCACTGCTGCCTTCCTTTTCTCCCATCGCCGCCGCACGCCGTGCCGCTCTATCCATGCCTCGGCATCGGTGCTGCAGGGTGGCCGAGGCAGGGAGCCCGGGGACGCGGGCTGGGAAGGGAATTTCGAAGCCGGGAGGGCCGCACAAGTAGCGCCCCTCGGTGCCGCTGGAGATGGGACGCTATTGGAGCCGGCAACCGAGCCCGCTGCTCCCGCCCGCCCAGCCGCCGCCGCAGCAAAGCGAAAGCCGCGGCGACCCGACGGCTGCGGCTCCCAGAGCCTTTAAGTGGCAGCAGGGGCCGGGTCAGGGCAGCTGGGCATGCTGGGATTTGTAGTCCAAGCCGTGCACCTGCCTCCCGGCCCGCGCCTTCGGAACCCTGGCCTCAGCCCTACGCCTAGTTCCCGGCGGTCCTGGCCTTCCCCTCTGCGGTGGATGCCGGCGGTGCGGGAGCGACCGCCTCTGTGTCCCGGGAGTGGCTGCTTCGCGCAGACTCCACCCACGGGCGCCCAAAGCCAGGGAGCCTCGTCTCCCCGCCCATCCCTGTCCCCCACGCCCGCCTCCAGTCTAGGGGCTTTCCGCGACCCCCGGATGGGGCGGAGCAGGGGTCGGGTCGCCTTTGGAACGGAGGAGGGTTTGCATCCCGCCATTCCTCAGCCGCAGCCAAACCCTGGAAGATGGGGACAGCGGAGGTTCCAGAATTTCTATGTGAGTTTTAGGGGCCGCCATCTAGTGGGAAGGGGCCTTAAGTGCTTGTGCTGTAGCAGGTTCTCAAAGCCCTGGACTCTCAATTGTTCATGCCCAAGGAAATAATTGCTCAGGCGTGGAGAAAGACGGAAGGGCTTTCTTCTGGACCCTTTTCACCCACCAAAATAAGTGTCCCATCCCTGTGCCAACCCAAACCACCCAGACAGCCTTAATTCTTGGGGCAGCGAACTGATTTGTCCTGCATTTAGGAGTGCTCTAGAGCCAACCAACACCTGATTTTAAATTCAGTCTCTAGTGCAGCCTAGCTGTGTGACTATGGGCAAAGTTAGCTGTCTCCGAGCTTCTGAGTTTACCCATCGGCAAAACTGGGGCGATAACAGTACCTATCTCATAGGGACCACATGAAGAACTAGTTTAGCCCTGGTCGGCGTGGTTCCGTTGGTTGGGAGTTGTCCGGAAAAGTGAAGGGTCGCGGGTTGGATTTCCTGCCAGGCCACAAGCTTGGGTTGCATGCCTGGTCCCCGTTGGGCACGTGCCAGAGGCAGCCTATGGATGTTTCTCTCTCTCTCCCCCTTCTCCCTCTCTAAAAATAAGTTTTAAAAGTATTTTTTAATATATTTTTAAAAAATGAGTTCATGTCTATACAAAACTTAGATTGATTGCTGTCACATGTAGTCACTGAATAAATGTTAGCAATTCTTACTATCCAACCTTAGATCACCAAACACGGCTGGAGACCGGAGCAGTGGGCGTGTGCGCAGTGCTGGCCCTGAACTGGCAGCCTTTCCTGCCTCAGCGTTCAGACCCCATCCCGTCTTCGCCCCACCCCTCCCACCTCCTACCAGTTCACACTGCTCCGTTTCTCTGGCTAAACTGAAAAGCCAAGCCACCCATCTAAGCTCCCACACATCCAGACTTCCAACGAGAAGAAATACCCCTCTTCTGAATTGTTTTCTCTTGTAGGCTCCTTGGCTGTCTAAATGGCTGGCTAAATTACTGTCGCATCCTCTTCAGAGAGCCAAATACAGTGCCTGGCACACAGTAGGAACTCCACAAAGTAGTCCAGCCCATCCCACAAGTTCTTCAGGCGTGCCACGCTTCTGTTTCTCTTGGGCCAGCTTAATAGTTTCCCTCTTTCTTCACCCTTTTTTTTGTTTTGTTTTGTTTTTATTTTTTAAGAATGAGGATTGGACAGGAGGTAGGGTCCCAGCATGCACACAGAGTCAGTAGTGTCTGGCAGTTTATATTACACCTTCCTTTAATGTCATTTGAAATGTTAAAATAAATTACATATTAGGTCTGAAAGACAAAACCATCATAACTTTAAAATGTGCTTTTGCGAACTAACCCCTCCTCTGGAGATTTTCTGAAACACGGGGGTCTCCCTCCCCAATGCCTGACCCTCCCCACTAAGATCACTGATCCCAGTCATCACTTCATCTGTCACAGGACCCTCTGTGCTGTATCTATTAAGGCCCCCAACCCTGACTGTTCCCTTAACCCCCCACCCGCCCCCATGCGGCAGAGTGATAACTGTGCTGAGAGAAAAACTGCCCAACAGTGTTCTCAGCCCTGACAGTGGGTCAGTCCCCCGCAGGGTTCCGTAATGCACGCTGAGGACCCCACCCCCAGGGTTTCCCATTCGGTGAGTAGAGGACAAGGCTGGAGACTTTGTGTTCCAACAGGCTCTCGAGTGATGCTGATGCTGCAGATCTAGGGGCTAAACTTTAAGAAGCCTGGGCACGGGGGAGGGTCAGGTAGGCAGGTCCACAGTGCAGCCTGGCTGGTGTCGAAGCTGCAGTTCTTCAGTAGCCAGAGCTGCCAGGCTCCAGCCGACTGACTCACTCTAACTCAATTCACAAGAGATTTCCTGCTTAAGTGCCTATTTATGCATTTCCATCAAGCTCGTGATTGCCATAGCGGCCTGGTCCACACATTTTCCCCTAGGGCCAATTGACGTCGTGGGAAGACATATCCTGAGAGAATACTACCAGCCTGCGGCATCCACACCTCACATGCCACCGTGGCAATGGTATGGGGGCTGGAGACTGGTCAAGCCTCAGCTCCTTGGCTGCTCCAATCTTACCTCCGGATTGTTGGAAGCATTCATTCAGTAGGCCACAGCTTTCCTTCCTGCTCCATCTCAGACGCGCTCCAGCCCTGCCGACTAGGTTTGGGTGTCCTGTCAGCCACACGGTTACAGAACTGCCTCTCAGAGATGCAGAAAGCAACGATTTTTAAATAACCCCTTCGTGCATCCTTTTAACATTCACCAACATTAATGAATAAGGACTCATTAAGTGTCTAGTTATGCAGCAGACCTCTGTGTTCTGGACTCTGAGAAACCAATAGTGAATTTATATTCTGGTAAGAAGTCAGATGTAAGTAGAAGGCACAGGATATTGGGTGGTAAAGGCAGAGCATGGCGTGGGGAAGGCGGACAGGAAGTGCAGCGTTGGCAGCCCTCAGCCGAGCTGTATTAGGGAGTGGGGTTCGAAGCTCTGCCCCTGAATTGCCGTCAGACCTCGGGCCAGTCTTCTCATCTCGTAGTCTCTCTCCTCATTTACAAGATGGCAGTTGTATGTTTGGGGATGAATGCAGGTGATGGTGCAAAGTGATGGTCGCAAAGTAGTTCAACATATTTCTTTTGATTTATTTGATAAATACCTACCACGTGCCAGGTACTTAATTAACTCATTTAACTAATGTTATTTACATTCCTCCTCCCACCCCTTCCAGGGTTTGTCTCTTCTGGAATAGATGCATTCATGTGTTATGCGCCGATTCTTAGGTCCAACTTCAGCTCCAGGATCTTGAGGCTCTCTGTGGCCCCCTCAGGACAGAGAGTTTGCTCCTTCTCTCCTTCCTCCCCTTGGCCTCAGACACCTGCAGTATTGTCACTCTGAGTTTTCCTGGTGTAGACTCCCCCGAGTGGATCTCAACACCACGATAGCTATGCAGGCTTGTTTGTGTCTATGCCTCATGCTTCACAAACATGAAAAGGGCACCCACCGTGGGCCAGGCTCCAGGACAGGCGAGGGGTAAAGGAAACCAAGTCCGTGTTCACATGGAACAAGCGGGAGTGGAAACAGAAAGTTAAGAAGTCAACAAATACAGCACCAAAATGAATTCAGAGAATGATAAGGGCTATGAAGGGGGGAAAGCAAAAGTAATAGCAAATTCCCAGGAGGTAAGGAGCTTCATTAGAGGAAGTGGTCAGAGAAGTACTGTCTGCTGATCGTGGAACTAAGATCTAAATAATGAAAAGGACCAAGCCATGGGGAGCCCCCAGGAAGGGGCATTTGAGGCGATGGGAACACCACATGCAAGGGCCCTGCGGCAGGGACAGCTTGGCACACTCCAGGGACCGAACGAACGCCAGTGTGGCCACAATGCGATGAGAGGGAATGGGGACTGGAGATGACGTGGGACTGCTGGGCAAGGGCCGGATAAAGTGGGACGTGGGCAGGAAGTTTGCATTTTTTCCTAAATCCGAGATTGCTGCATGGCCTGGGAGCTTGTTAGAAGTCCAGTGTCTCGCACCTCATGCCAGATCATCTGCGTCTTGGATTTTAGCAAGATCACCTTGTGACTTGAATGTATGTTAAAGTTTTAGAAACAGCTCTCAAAGTACACGGAACGCAAGCTACACTCGTTGCCAGGGAAGGGTTTTTAAAAGCTCCCTCCAGCCACCGTCTGGAGAGCGGACGGTAGAGAGAAGCAGGGCAGAGACAGGGGCCTGGTTTCTAAGACCGCTGCTGTGGCCAAGGCAAGGAACGGGAGCGGGAGGAGGGTGGGAGAGGAGGCCATCGCGAAGGAAAGGGGGTGGAGGGCGAGTGTGGAGACAGCCAACGGGACAAACCAATGGATCGAAAGCGGAAGAGGGAAAGAAATGATTTTAGCCGTCCTGGCCGTATTGCCTCTCCTCCAAAGACAAAGCAGGGCGCTGTGGGAGGAGCCCTACCCTGCAGTCAGCGTGGCCACGCCCTCACATGCCGCAGTGGCTCCCCCTGGATTCCCACCTCCACCCTCCAGCATCACCTCAGTCCTCAGCAGGTTTCTCTCACAACCCAACACAGTGCAGGGAAGATCGGTTCCAGGATTTCACCTTCAGTGGAATTGTCCAGGAAATGGGTGGAGTCGCCCTTGAGAGATGTGCTTTATTATTATTCGCACACCTGTGTTCATTCATTCAGCAAATATTTTCTGAGCCCCCAGTATGTGCTTGGCACTGTGCTAGAGTAAGAACAGAGCAGTAAATGGTACATACTTTGTAGCTTACAAAAGACTTTGATTCGAGCTCACAGTAACCTGTGTTGTCTTCCTAAGAACCTTCTCGTGTTGCTCACCAGCTAGAAAATGCCTTGGGCTCCCCTTTGACCTCAGAGTGCTGTATGAGTTTCTCAATGAGGTCCTTCATTCCTGGGCCCTGCCAGCATTTCCAATGCTCTTTTGCTACTCAAGGCTTTTCTTTTCTTTTTTTTTTTTTTGGGGGGGGGGCAGGGGGAAGGAGAAAGAGAGGGAGAGAAACATCAATGTGTGGTTGCCTCTTGCACGCCCCCTACTGGGAACCCAGCCCACCCAGGCATGTGCCCTACTGGGAATAGAACCCGCAAGCATTTGCTTCACAGTCCAGCACTCAATCCTCTGAGCTACACTAGCCAGGGCTACTCAAGGCTCTTTGGAGTCCATGTCCCAGTTTAAAAATCTGATGAAAACTAAAGGTGTCTC